CTCTGTCTAATTCACACACACAAAGAAAACAACAGTTTATACTTAAACTCTTGCACTGATCTCCTATTTTTGACCGGGAGCTTATAAACGTAAGACTGATGTAAGTGAAAGATTCTGTTTACATTTTGTTTCATGCACACTCTTATCTTTGTTTTATTTTTTGTTCTGCACAGCACTCACTTTTTTATTGAAACCATCGATGAGCATCTGTCTCTTGCCGAAAGTGCAGCCCCATGAAATGTGTTGATTGCAGTTCTCTATAAACTGGGACTTTGGTCCTTCCAACTTCTCTGTAGTAATACTCTTTCTGATAGCAGAGTCAAGCCTTTTAAAAGAAAACGTCCTGATTCAACCTCATGGACACAAAGCCCAAGAGTCAGGATTGATGTGTGCTCTCCGAGTCCTACGGGATCGTTTGAACGCAGGGCGCCGAGGGATTTGTCAGTCTAACGGGAGCTGACAGGAGGAGAATGAACTTTAACACTCACAGGCTGCTTTCCCTTTCATGAGCTTCCAGAGGAACCCTGTAGTGAATCAAATCCCTCCGCTCGGGAAATACACACAGTTGTATAATAAAAATGCATACACATATGCACTAACGTAAAAGGCACACAGACGCACACACACTCACATATCTTATTCAATGTTACGTTCCCCCACTTGTCCCTGCACATTCCCATTTAATCTGTCAAGCTGTTAAGAGTGACAAATGTGTCCAAGAAAAACAACAACAAACACATACAGTACATGTACATGCAAACGCAGCTATACAAACTGTAGCACACACAGACGCACACTTCCTCCAATGACCTGAGAATGGAGGTCACTGCTGAGAGCTCGTTGTTTCAGTGATTTCACGCTGTGTTGCTTTCAATCAGGCGCTGTAATGAAAGGTCTCATAACTCTAACGTTAATGGGACCCAAGGACTGCTAAACAGATGAATAGCTTGGTTTTGTATGTTAGGACCCAAAACGGGCCTCAAAGTCTTGCTCTGGTGAGTCTCTATGTGGTGAGTTAAGAGGGTTGTTTCAGTGAGCTTGCAGCCTAAGGTGACATAACATTTAATATTTTAAAAAGTTTAATAAACTCTAGCCTGGACTGTTGCCTAAAAGCTTGTCCATTTAATTATTTACCATTACTTGAGACTTCCCGCGAACCTACCTAATTACCCGGAGTTAACTACAGATCAGGGCTTTTTTCTGCAATGGGGACTTTTTGACACTTTTAGTGGCAAGGTGAAAAGGGCTGTGCTGGCAGATTTGCCCCCTGCGATAATTGCTAGGCTAAAACAGTGAATTTGGCTAATGTTACAACCTTTCAGGGAACAACCTCATTATTGCCCTGTGATAAATTTTGTTGCATCGATTTTTTCTGGAGCAGGCCAGTTGTATAAAACTAGCAGTTATGACAGTTTTATTTATACTTTGTTGCGGTAAGTATGGTAACAACATATTAATTCAATTTAAATGAATACCACTGCAAACTTGCAGAAAACATGACACATGAAACATGAATGTTGTAGCCGGATTGTTCATCATGTTCACATCAAAGTTGGTCAATGCAACAAGCATTTTGTTTGAAGCATACTGAAAATCCTAGCCTACTAAAACACTTTGTTAATGTTAGAAAAAGATTGTGGATGATCTAAAAACGTTATTCATGCTTTAGTTGCCATGAGCAGCTATATAAAATTAAGAAATACATTGACAGTGAATGTTTTGCAGATATGTTCAGTATGAACATTTTGCATTGGCAATGAACAGTTTGTACACATTCAATATTATTTTTGAGGTTCAGGAAATAACTTTAAGATGACAAGGTTGCATCTTAAAACTATGAAAAGCAATCATTTCCCTGAATGGACTGCAAATGGAAAAAAATGTTTCAATACAATAAAAAATATTTCTCTTAACAATGAGGATAAAAAAAAAAAATTTTATTATTATTTTACACTTGGAGAAAGTTCTCCCTCTATCCTTGTCCACTACCGTTCCCCCCTTCCCTCACTCAGCAAAGCCAAGGAAGTAATAAAAAAAACAAAAAACAATGAGAAACCATTGTTGACAACGTGATGCAGAGCGCAAGGTCTCAAGCCAAAGAGTGGTGTAATAAACATTACCTGCACCCCATCTCTGCCCTCATCATGCAGTGTCGTCCTCCCACAGCTGATCAAAAACACAATTACACCCCTGCATACTAGTGTATAACCCAGTAAACAACAGCTACTACTCTGCTCTGCCAGCTGAGCCAGACAGCCGCCCTCACACACCTCCAGAGAGGCCAGAGAGCATTTCTCTGGTTATAGATAGACTGCTGGTGGTGGGTTTCCACAGGCCAGAGAGCAGACGGTCTAACTGAGCTGTATCAAATCACTAACACAATGTACGAACACAAACTGCACAAACACACACACATAACCTGGCTGACTAGCATAGTAGTCTTGGAGCTCAGCTGCCATCATACTGCTGACAGCTTCTGAATAGAAACCAAGTAGTGGGAGCTATTTCTATACTCATGCCACACATAAACGCAGGCTTGGTGTGGTGTGTGATTTTACTGGTGTTTAATACAGCCACATACAGTATATGAAAAAAGTTTCCATTTCAAGCCTCAAGGAAACCTTATATATATATGCACTATTACACTCAGGGGTCAGCCTGACCTGGAGTGACTCAACAGATTTTTGATTTACTACCAGGACATCTGGCACCTCTCCAGCTACCAGTCCACACTCTGTACCATCTGGTCTGAGCGGGACTTGAATCGGCTAACCTCTCGCTCTCAAGTCAAGTCCCTACGGACAGAGCCACTACCATGGGTCCAAGATCACCATCAATGTTTCCCTTTGTTCTTCGCATTTTAAAAACTGATTGCTGACCCTTTTTATTATACAAAAACAATTATCTTTCTAGTTTGATGTCTGGCAGTTTCAAAAACCATTGTTTTCTCTAAAGTAGGGCTGAACGATTAATTGCATTTGCGATATTATCGCGATAAAGTAAAAAGAGAATTTTCTAATCGCAAAGGCTGCGATTACAATCGCGGGTAACTTGGTGGAGTTGGTGGTTGAAATCATCAGGCCATCCACCGCTTTGGCGCACAGAAAAAATGCATAACAGAAAGACACGTGTAGTAAGTATTGTGTCGATCGATTATCGCAAGCCAAAGTACTCATGGACGTCTGGTCGAGCGTGTGATTGCACACTGGCACGTCAAAAGCGTGCAAATTGACAGCAGGACGCAATAATAGTGTCGACCTTGATTAAAGATATAATCTATGCAGCTACTGTCATCCCTCATACACATTCTGTCTGTTTTGTGTTTATATCATTTATAGCCTACATGATTATAATAACTCAACAATTATAGGTTTTCTGTCAAATTTGTCCTTGATAATTCATGTTTTCATTGGGTTTAATGATAATGATAAATGATTTTAAGCCCTAAACCCCATCTAGTTGACAACACATGATGGTCTGAAGCCCTAAAAAGAAGAACACTAAAGGAAGAGCACCTTCTTTTCGCTTGTTTGGACTGGTTTGCACTGCCTGTTTGATTGACCTGTTTACACGTTCATAACTGCGTTTCAACGGCATGACAAAAACGAAAGACACCCGTTTTCATAGAAAAAAACGCCAGTTTTTGAGAATGTGCGTTTTGCTGTCAAATCACGCGCTTTTGACGTGCCAGTGTGCAATCAGATGCTCAACCAGGCGTCTATGCGTACTTTGGCTTTTCATAATCGACACCAGTGTCACACTCACAGCCACCAGTCAGCTCAGGAAATATCTGTGAAACGGCGTTTCAAACCAAACTCACAAGTCCGAAAGAGGCCCAGTCTTTCCCGAGTTACAGCCTGGTTACAGACGGTGCGCTGCTTAACAGCAGGCTGCAGGGGGACTACAGTGTTGGAGAATTATTAAACTTGTCTATTAAACACGAGAGGCCAACCCTTGGCCAACTTTTGAATTGAACCTCAAACGGAGTATTTTTTGTGGTTTTTGTTGAGAGACTCCTAGGAGATTAGGACTGAGATAGACTCATTAATTAGTTGTTGAACTGTGGACTTTGTATTAAGCGCTTACTGTATAACACACTGTGGTGAACTTAGTTTTTCTTGTGGTCTGTAGGTAGGCCGACCTGATGATATTAAATCATATTATTTAATGCCATGACTTGACTCTCAAATGATCTTTCTCATATTGTTATAATTTGATATTTCTTCTCCACCATTGTTCATAATAATAATTCATGCATCACCTAATTTCATCATAACACAGGCCTGGCCTACAAGAAAGAACAGTCTATGTTTAAGACACTATACAATGATTTAATGCTTGTCCGTTTAGAATAATACAGAAGGTAAAGAGCTTAAATCGCAATATTGATTAAAAAAATCGCAATTATATTAAAAAATATAAAAAAATTGTAATTGTAAAAAATTTAATTACTTTCCAAAAATCGTTCAGCCCTTAAAAGGTAAAGTAACCATAGATTCCAGTCTCAGCATCAAACTGGTTTGAAGGATTGTGATTGTGAAACGAAAGCTCGGAAAAATATTCTACCAAATTAGAATCAGAATCTTGATGTATGTGATCTTGAAAGTGGGGTGGAGATGGAGCAGTGGATAAGACACATATCTTTGATGTGAAAGACCTGGGTTCAATTCCCCACTGGGACATATCCACTAATGTGTCCCGGAGAAAACCCTAGTTGCTCCACAGGCGTGCGACCTCTGACAAACTTGGCAAATGTAAGTCGCCTTGGAGAAAAGTATGAGCTAAATGAATAAATCTAATGAAAGAATTATCCATTAAACCCACTGTAAGACACACACAGAGTTAATCTAGTGTGTATAGCTTTTGATAAATTATTTGTAAATAGCCATTTGTCCACTGCACTGCCAAGTTGGCGCCACACATGGAGAAAGATCACTAGGAGATTTGACGTAAGCCTCTGCTGGTCAGAGGTACAAAAACACACACGTGGGATAATTTACCTTGCTCTCTGAGTGGTTCAGGTCTGGTGTCTTGGCCGTGGCGTCCAGATCAGTCACTCCCCTATTGAGGTTTAACTCCTCTGCTGCCGGCACCTGGATCACCTCCTCCGCATCGATATCCGTCTCCTCTGTGACAGATGCCGTCTTCTCAACGCCCGTTAGCTCTCGAGCTGAGCCGAGGAAAGTACACACACATACAGGTGGATAAGCACGCACGCCTGCATACACACATGTAGGCATGAGCATGTACACACGCACACATGGGTGACACACATAAATAACAAGTAAGAAACATTATCCATATACAACCATAGTACAGTATACTGTCTGCATGATTATGAGCTTGAATAAGAGTTTAACAGTTCTAGTTGTTCTGTGGTGCAACTCAAGCAAATAAACAGTGAAAAAAATCCCTATATTACCACACAACGATCAACAACACAATGCAAATCTAAATATAATACAATGCTGCCAGCACTCTCCTTTCATGGGAATTTCCATTGTGCGTTTTGGTTTTTAAATAGCGGTCTCATTGCCGTTAATACATTTTTATGGGACAAATTGGACCAAGTTGGATACAGATTGTGTTTTCAATGAAGCATATATCACTAAACATTTAAGATCAACAATATTGCCTGTGTACAAGACAAAATCAATTCAGGCTGCAACAAAACAGTTTATGAAGAGCATTCCTACTCTTCTTCCGCACTCTATACTTGATAAATGAAACTGTTACCTTGGAAATGGGTCCAAATTTACTTTTTTGTCAAAGCCAAATTGAGACATTCCTTCTCTTTTTATCTGGTAAGAATTTATTTTAAAAATGTTTTTAATATCTTTGGCAAAGGAAACCATCCACTTCAGCTCAGTAAAACACACTGTCAAAAGCTGCTACAATTTGTACCAGATCAATACAATGACACACCTGAATAGGAGTGACTAAATGACTAAAATATGGTTATCCTACACTTTCAAATATTCTGATAAAATCAACACAAAAAAACTATAATTATATAAGTATAAGAGTGTCTTTGCCTTATGAATTTAAATAACAAATAAATATTTTACTATTTTGACTTGCCTCACCAGACAATTCACCAGAACACAGCTATAACACTGTTTGTTACAGTTGTTGGAACACTTCTTCCCCTGACTCCAAAGCATGAAGCTGCTCGCTGTGTGTCATAACCTCACCCAATTCAAAGGAAATTTGCTCTACTTGCATGTCATGCATTTTCTTGTTATTGACAACTGTCCACTAGACAGGATTGCATTGTCTTCCTGGCAGCCTGACTGTACTAAAAATATATGATTGTTGAGCTACTAGGACCCTTCTCTCTTAAGCGGCAAAGCTATTTACAGCCAGAATAGATGACATTTACAAATAGACTCAAGTACCTTTACTCAAGGCCGCCCCTCAAACAGCATCATACAAGTTTCATTTAAAAAAGCAATCATTTTGAAAACATGAAAAGTACTCAAAAGAAGAAAGGATCTTAGTGGCTGCACTCATTAACAAAATGTAAAAAAACCCCCACAAATTTAAATTTCAATACTGAGCAATTAACAACGGGCTAGTGTTCTCACGCAAAATAGGTAAAGTTAGGCCTGATATGGCTACTTGTTTCCTTCATGTTTTCTTTTTCCTCCCCCCCATTACATACCGATTACTGTTCCTGCTGCAGTGTCCTCCGCCTTTTCATCCTCTCCTTCAACTCCTCACCTCCACTGTCCATCCAACCTCCACCTTCATCCTCAGCCACCTCCTCTTCCATTTACGCATCCCCTTCCTTCTCTTGTGCACCCAGCTATTAGCGCTGTCCACCCCCTCCACTTAAACCTCATCTCCAACAATCTGGCACTGGCCCACTGCTCCCTCTCCTCCCCCTCCCATGAACTGCATGCTTGATAACCTGCTGGCAGCACTACCATCACTTCTTCCTCCATTACCACTCCTCTTCCTCCTCCTTTCTACCCACCGATCAGTGATGTGCTGTCCTGCCCTTCCTCCTGTGCTTTGTTGTTGACAGGTTTCCCCCCCTCTTCTTTGTCCTTTTCCTCTTTGACTTCACCTCTGCTCTACCCTAACTTGCTGGTTAAAGCTGTCATTAATTAAATGGTCAGAAGAAAATTCCTGGATAGTTTGCACACCTTAATATAAAGACTCAAACAGAACAGCACTGGAGCTGTGAAAGGACCAGTCTCTAGAACGAATGTGAATTATGTTAAATACGGGACATCATGTTAAGGGATTCAATATCTTGTTGTGAGATGATGAACTGAACCACTTTGAGTTTAATGCAAAATATATCCAACTGAACAAGTCATTTTTTCTCGCTTGTTTCAATCACAAATCAAGTTATTTCAAGCAGTTTTTGTTTGTTTTTATTCTGGAGTTTTTGACATCAGGCTTACATTTAAAATTTAGGTTAGGTGTTAGATGTTATTGCACTTCTTTCAGGTGCATCACCTGTGATTGGCCTTTCATTAGTGGATTGTTTTGAATTTTGGTATTTTGTTATTATTTTATTATTATTATTGGCATTAACATTAATGTGTGTTTGTCTTGTTATTATAATGTAAGCATATCTTAAATGTGCTGCATTGTATAGTTTATATTTTACACTGATATGTGGTTCGTTGCAACTTGTGTGACTTGTTTTTATGACTCGCTCTTTCCAGTGCAGGGATGACCAAATAAGCTTTGACAAAATAATACTGAAGTGAAATGATCGGTCTGATTTACGCAACTGGCATTTACTTTAACTAAAGTAATTAAACATGTGAACCTTCATTGGAAAAAACCACAACTATCTCACACTTGGGCAGCATATCTCCTTTGTAAAGAAATCTAAAAATCAAACTGAATGAGTCTAAATAGCTTGCCATACAAACATTTTTGTTCAGTATAGTAACATTTCTGAATATCGCTGACAAGTCTCCAAGATGCCCCATCATATGTCCTGTAGGCTTTAATTCAGTGTGTGATCACTGAACTGCTGAATTGATGTGGCACCCTTGCGTCTAATGTTAATGTGAACTTTAATGATAATATTACTGTTCCACAGTTGGGCTTTATTTTCCATTGAGTAGACTTTATTAGATCAGTGATGCAATGCATTTTTCATATAGTTATTCATTGTTAATAAAAGATTATATGTTGCAGCATTTTGTCCAGTTGAAAACAAAATCACTTTCTCTGTACTGTGGCTCTTTCCCCCTTTCTTCTGACTCGCTGCTGCTCAACCCAGTTCTTCATCCCCCCTCTCCAATTCAATTCCACATTTCATCTCTTCTCGCTCCTCTCATCCTACATGATCCCAAGTTCCTTTTTCCTCTAATATTCATCTCTTCTTCCTGCTTCTCTCCACTACCCATGCTTTCTTCCAGCTTTCCGTTTCTCTAATCCGCTATCTCCTACTCTTCTATCCCTTCTCCTTTCATTGCCATGATAATTAGTTCTCCAGATAAGCTCATTGGCTGCGCATGACAGTTCTTGTGTTGCTTAAAACCCCATGACAGCAAGTGTGGAAGCATGAGTGTATAGGCCTAAGTTTGTATGCATGTGGGGTCCTTTCATCATGTGTGGATGTACAGTTATAGTGGGTGGGTGATCTCTGGGCTCATCAGCATGTGAAAGGGAGCTCGTCTCTGGAGGGCTGGAAGTGGGGGGTGGAGATAACATATCCCCAGCCTGGCGCTCTCAGATCGAGATGGGGAGGGTGACCAGCACTGGCTACTGTAATGACTGGAACACTGGTGTGAAAGAGCTCTGTTCGTGGACACTTCCAACTGCTGAATCTGCGCGTCTGTCCTCTTAGACCTCACTCAGAGCCACGTGTCCCTGGGCTGCAGTGAAGCCCATCGTGTCCAGGCACGAGGCAACAGATAAAAGTAGCTCAGCCCACCAGTGTTGTTGTACGGTGCCTCCTTTCTTTTGGTTGACTCATCCGTGACATTCACTCCAGCATCACCCTCCCCTGCTTGCCAACTTGGGCACAATGCAGGCAGGAATGAAAGTGTGTGTGTGTGTGTGTGTATGTATACAGAACAATCTGTTTGTGTTATCTGAGGACATACAGTATGTGAAAGTAGGTGTAGGTGTTTGTGCGCACTGGGGAATGTGTTGCCAAGAATTTAGATTTTACATTATTTCTGGATGTTATATTCAGATTCGCCCATGGCCTTGATGATGCTATTCAATATGTTTTAGATTCATTCCTTGAACTAAAAATACTATTCCTCCCTGGTTTGTTTGTCTCGTCTTTCTAAAGGGATGAGTTTTGCTCTGCAATACTACTAGGCTGACACCTTCGTCACACATACATCCATATATAACAACAATCCTATCTACCGGCCAATAACCTGCCTCTGCACAACATGGAAGCTCCAAGAAAGCTTACAACTTAATGCCACATACATGATACTGGAAGGCTTGGAAATGTACAAGATCAACAGGACACTAATAGCCTTCATCAACAACTCAATGGGGCTGTGAAAAACAAGTCTGGAAGCAAACTCAAAGCCAATTGCACAGGTCACCATCAAGTGCGTCATATACCAAGGTGATGCACTATCCCTGCTGCTGTTCTGCATAGGACTGAACAAGTGGTATCAAAAATGAGATGATCAGAACCGAGGGGATTAACTACCAGAAGGCCACACTGCGGATGTTCAGGACAGCTACAAATACATTGGGGTGCCGCCGGCTAACGGAAAACATAAGTAGGCAGCAAGGAAGTCCGGCACAGCCAAATACCTACAGAGAGTAAGGCAGGTCCTGAAAAGTCAGCTGAATGGGAAAAACAAGATCCGAGCCATGAACACATTCGCCCTGCCAGTCATCAGACACCCCGCTGGTATAATAAACTGGCCAAAGGAGGAGATAGAGACTACTGACATCAAGACAAGAAAGCTCCTCACAATGCATGTAGGGTTTCACCCCAAATCCAGCACCCTGAGACTGTACACCAAGCGTAGCGAGGGAGGCCGAGGGCTAGTGAGTGTCAAGACCACTGTCCAGGATGAAACAGCAAAGATCCAGGAGTGCATCAGGAAGATGGCCCCCAAAGATGAAGGGCTTAGTGAATACCTCAGGCAGCAGAAACCCGAGGGCGAGGACAAGGAAGATGAAGAACCTTCATGGAGGGACAACATTAAGAAGAAGGAACACGAGAAGCTTGAGAAATACCAAGGGCTGAAAGAGGAGCTAGAAAAGATGTGGAAAGTAAGTGCAGCAGTGGTGCCAGGGGGATTAGGGGTTGTTTGATAGCCTGCGTCATTAACAAGCCCAGAAGCGGCTCACCTGCTGCCCTATTTTCTCTATTGTTGTTTATACCTGTGTAATCACACAAAATGTGCTGTACACAATAAAGTATATAATTTCTTCTTGCTTTGCCACATAAACAATCATTGACCTTACCCGTCTGAAATGAAATCTGCTCGGTGATACTACAGTTAATCCAGAACTAAGAATTAAGAATAAAAGAACATCTCCTCCAAGAGAAACATTACAGCTGTTTTTTTATTCGTTCCATTTTTCACTTGAACCTTCAAGGAACTTCTAGAAGGTTGCAACACATATCTTTTCCCTTTTAACAAAATACAGAACTCCCACAAGAAACCATCAACCCTGCACTCCGCGGCTCTTCTGTCTAATGTTGCCTTGTGATTGTTCATTTTTATAATAAGTGAACAAACACTACATCTTCGAAAAATGTGGATAAAAAGCCTCGTCCTTGAGGGAAGATCAGCAGTGCCAAGCAGAATGCAGACCAGTAAGAAAGGGATGCTGGCTGTTTGTGTGTTCCTGTGTGTGTTGGTGTGCAGTACCTGGGACAGAGGAGTCGTTGCCATTCTTTTCGCTGTGGCAGTCCTCCTGTCCATCTGCATTCTGCTGTGTGTGCTGCAGACTGAGTTTATGACAAACCTCGAACGCCTGGCCGACTGTCCGCACAATACGCATGGCCTGACTCTGGTTGGGGAGAGAAAGAGAAAGAAAGACATTGCAGTTGTAATTCTCTGAACATAATTTGTACTTCTGTGTTGCCATTTGGTTCAACACTCATTGCTGTGCAGTGTTTTTAAACCAAAGTTAAAACATTTTATTCAGAACTTTTTCCTTTCATTTTTTCCTGGCTAAGTTTGAGTTTATGTATGTGGTGCTCTTTTCTCTGGTTATCCTGCAACCCAGTTTTTTGGGGTATTCTAAACACACCAGAAAAGTAAAACTATCACTTCCCACATGCCAGGAAATACTGAAATCCAGACCGAGCTTTGCAGTGTTTTTGGACCAAAGACTCCACACTGAGCCTTTTTCCACTAGTGTCACATGCAGAGTCAACAATGTCACCTGATGATGTTATACAATCAGGTAGAGGAGGTTAATTGTGTTTACTGTCCAAACTCAGTGGAATATCAAAAAGTAATTTTTATTTTTGACCGGATTGTTCCTTAGTCCTCAGGTGCAAAGAGCTCAATGTCTCTGCTTATCTCCTCCCTTACTCTTTTCGCCCTGCTCTGAAAAGGCAGGTCAAGCGAAAACAACTAAGGAGACTTATGTCTGCTCTCAGCCCTCTCTTGTGCGGCTTGTCACAGTAGAGAGGTGCAGAGGCATAAAAAATTCTTTTAAGCACTGTGGCCTAGCCTCAAAACACAACTCATCCTCAGCTGATTAAGCAGAACAGATGCAGTGTGGCCTAAAAGCCAGAACACAATCAAGACTCTGCCAACAGACTAAATCCTTTCTTGTTCCGGTTATAAACTCTGAACCAGTCTGAAGTCTTGTCCCAAAAAGTGTTCAGTCCAGATCAGTATCATAACATCATATGGACCCAGGCTTAGTATCATTTGAAAAATATAATTTATCTTGTTGTTTTATTACATTAAAAACTTTAACTGGTTTTGGCAGTGTTTTGAGGTGCTGGGCGTGGACTTTAGTCCACAGAGGTTTTGGGTTCAGAAAAACTCCACTCATAAGTCACTTTCAGTTCAGTGAGGTTTGGCAGCAGTCGTAGCGTCCTCATAGTGTAATTATGGGTCCAAGCCCGAGTGGGCTGGGAACTCGAAAGTCCGATTGCCACCAAACTTGGCACAGACCATCCCTGGACCGTGACGATAAAAGTTTGTATAGGGAACTTTGATCCGCCAAAAAATCTCCGAATTATAAGCTAACAAATTTTTGCCGAAACGCAAAAAACTGGATGTGGTGTCATATCTTACGTTTGCAATGGCCGATCTACACCAAACTCGGGGACCTTATCTGCCATGCCCTCCCGAGCGGCTGTGTGAAATTTGGTGTCAATCAGCCTCTCGGTGGAGCTACTAAGCGTATATCAAATAACACTCCCACTGACATACATTCATTTTATATCTCCGTAACCGCAAGTCCCTTTCATTTATAACTCTGGTCATTTATTGTCCACGGGCCCCCGGGTCAACTCACGCGGCCTCCTCGGGCCGAGGGGGGTTGGCTGGCGCCGGAAGGCTTGGACCCCGCTTACAGCTGCTTGCAGTTCTAGTTTATTATTATTATTATTTAGTTTTTTTCATTAAAACACTCTGCTTCATCCTTATTTACTGCTGATGTTTCCAAACCGACAAACCAACAGCTGCCAGTATCAGCAGAATAGGAATTTATGTCCAGATCTGAAAAATGTCCTCCATTGCCATTGACCCTTACATAATCAGAGCAAGTGCCTTTGAGGCCTCCACTGTGTTATGTTTAGACAGCATGTTGCCACTTCAAAAGTTTAAACACCTTTCATGGCTATGGTACGGTTTCATGGGGTACAAATTCATGAAAATCTGGCGGAAGTCCAAGCTTTTATAATCAAACTTGCACTTATTTGCCACGTAGAGTGAGGCAATGGATAAGACAATGTGGTATATGGTAACATAAGGCTGGGAGGTATATCGGTATAATGAGGTATACCGATATAATTTCAAAAGACATATGAAATTACACAATACCGTTTATACCGATATAGTTTGATGTTGAGTTAATTAATGTTTCCGTAAAGTCCTGCCAGCGTTTGCTCCTCTCTCTCTCCCTCACCGCGCAGCCACGCCCCTCCGTCTGCGTCTGCATGCAGCCGTCTACTCACAAAGTTTCTAACAAGATAGAGGGAGACACAGTGCAGGTCGACACTATTAAAGACCTAGCTTATAAAAAGAAAAACACGGTTCGTTCAGTGTTTACCATACATACACTTTACTTCAGTGGGCCGCCCAGGTTAGGCGACACATAAAAGCATTTATCAGAGAAACACTGTGGATATTTTACAAGAGCGGACCGGGTAAAGCGACAGTGAACACACCAGTCAGATGTTATTCATTAGCAACCACGTTGTTGTTTTTTTGATAGCCTATGTCGTTAACACGCCTCCTCTACGTGCAGCTCAGCTGCTGCTGTGAACGGAATCACCGCAAGGTCTGTTTTTCTGGTGACTTTATACAGCCTAGCCTACAACTGATGGAGGAAGTCACCCAAGTGGACATACAGGGAGAGAGAGACGGTAAAGCCCCTTTCCCACTACACAGTACCAGCTCGACTCACCTTGTTTTGGTTTTCCATTGTGTAAAAGTTGTACTTGTACCTGCTACCAGGTACTTTTTGCGTAACGCCTCCGTCTTATCTGTCTTTAAATTCTGAGAATTGTTGAAACTTTTAACTTAAATGAAGAGACAGCTGTTTGTGCGTCGCTGGTATGTGTCGCATTGAACATTACGTTGCAGCAGTTGTGTGTGGCGTCGCTATGACGACCAGCTAGCTACATTGAAGGGTACTATCCCTGGGTACTATCTGCGGAGGACGGTCAAGGCGAGGCGAGTTGAGCTGGTATTGATACTGGGAAAACGACATAAGAAGCGGGCGAATTCAATAACTGAGTGATACTTAAGATGGAGAACGAAGTATGATTAAAATGGTGAAATAGTAAAAAAGCTAAGTTACTAAAAACATGTCCACTAAATCGCTACCCCCACCCCCAACAGCACCGGGATATGACTTTTTGGGCATATCGCCCAGCCCTGTGGTAACATAAAAATATTAATCAGGAATGATTCCCTGATGTGATTTATGCCCAAATGCATAACATTGCTGTTTAATTGAACAGATTATAATAGCTAATATAATATCTACTAATTTGTTGCAGCGTGAACCATTTATGAGCTTCCAACTGACCTGTGCAGCTACTGCTCCAGACAAAGTGGTGTCCATCAAAAATAAATAGAGACCATTAAAGCTGCAACCTTACATACACTCAAAGTAGAGTAAACTAATTAAAGTGTGTCAGTGTTGTGTTTAAGTTGTTTCAACTTTTTACTGTCGGAACGTAATGATAATGTTATCAGCCAATCAGGAAACATCGTTAAGCGTAGCGGAGTATGGAGAATGTCTCCAAAAACAGTAACTGAACAGCTAAATTTATACAGACATATATTATACGGTAAATGGAAAAAGACAGCTTTCGGCCTAAACCATATTTAGCTGTACACTTGCTGTCCCTTTGACATTTGTCTTCTCTCTTTTCTAATTTTCTAGCTACAAGCATTAATATCCTGAAACAGAAAAGACGGATTGCTTTAATCCAGTGTCGAGAAAGGATAAGATAAAATATTGTCACTTAAAAAGGATATTGCCTTGGAGCAAACTGCTGTTAAAAGAAACTGGAGAGCATGATTCAGCTGAAAAACATCAAGATATCAAACTAACAGACAAATATAAGTAATGATAAACATAATATTGTCCTGTGTGTTCAAGACCTTTTTGGAAATTTCTTCTTATAGTGTTGGGGATGAAATTGGTCAGAGATTCCCACATGCAAGTACACTGTTTGCAGATATCTCCTTTTTGTAACAACCCTTGTATCCTTTACTTTGTCTCTCCCTAGCTCTTTCTTTCTCCTCAGACTCTCTGTTCACTTTTCCCCATGCTGTGCTGTTCACTTCTACTCCATCTCCTTCATACCATCAATCACATTTTCTAACTCTTATGAACTCAAATCATACCTTCTGGGAAGAATTCCACAGAATTTATCCCTTTACTGTCCCTGTGGAGTCCACAATGCAACCCATATAAGGTTATTCTTTACTGGCCTAAATATGTGTAACCATCTTATTGGCTGTTGAACCCTAATGCTTACCTAAGTCATGTTGAAATGTATTACATTCTAAGTGGTGCCAGTCTGTCTGTAAACTTCTAAGACTGAAGAAGAGCGCCATATCTCTTGTCCTTGGCTGTCTAGGCAACGGCTGGTTCCTATCTACCAAACTGTCGTCATGCACCCACAGAGAAACACAACAGAATCAACTATTGCCTGACAAACACACAGGTTGTTCTGTTTCTAGGTCTGTGAGTGACTTGAACGTGATATCTGTATGACTTGTACCTCACCTGTACCTCATCCACATTGAGCCCCATTAGTAAAAGTCCTTCAAAATGATTAGGCATTATTGATAATATAGCCAAAAATTGTTACTGATCACTTTGTACCGTTAATATTGATTTATTTGACAAAAAGGCGGCATTGTCTTTTGCTAGGAGCAGGTAATTTTTCTGGTTCAGACACACAAAGGTGACGTCCCGACCTGTGCACAAAACCTGACCTATTTAAAATGCTGAAAAAATAATCTAGAGCTTCACCCATGAAAATTGGCGGTCATAATCATATCATATCGTTATATGCTGATGATATAATTTTGTTTCTAGATCAAATTGACACCTCTATACACCAGATAATTGAAGAATTTGATAAATTCAGTGATCTGTCAGGTTATAAAAACAAAGTCCGCCCTGATGCCACTGAATAATATACATGTTCAGGGTTCTATCCCCTCACCTATTCATATTAGAAACACTTTTGTGTACCTGGGCGTTACAATTCACAAAAACATATCTGAGATAAGCAGTGAAAACTTCAACACTGTACTAAAAAAGATAAAGTCAGATACAGTGTTGGCCAAGCTACTTTG